AATATTTGCATCTTTCCAATTTCATGCCAGATTTATGTGGTTCTTGTCCTTATAAGGTGTTACTGCTGTAATGAATTGCAAGCAGCTTTCGTGGTGTTCGGGAAATTACAAAACCCATAGATATCTAACTGAAAATTGGAATGGTGCAAATCTATGCCATCAATGTACACATAAAAGTGTAGAAAAATCTCCTTACAATCCTATAAACTCAACAATCAATTTTGAGACCAACGAGAGCATAACTTGCAGACACCCAATAGCATCTATATGACAATTTTTCTCTGAAAATAGTATTTTGGCCATTTTGATGCATTCTGTTTTGAAAATGGATAGTTTATCAGCTAGTCCAGTAGCCATTTAGATGACAAAATCCGTTATGACTTCTATTTGGAAGTTCACATTGTCAAGCAAACTTTAAATATGGTTACAATCATCCCTTTGGAGAGGACAGAAAATATTTTCACAATCCCTTTAAATGTATTGCACAAACGTGAAAGACTATTGAAGTTGTACAACAATATCTTAGGATATATCTTATAACTTAAACACAGTGTTTACTTTAAGTCAACATTGTCTTATCCCCATACTGTTTAATCTGATCCTGTTAATTCCCAAAACAGAGGTCAATCTGTTATTATTATATACAGAATCCTTGTCAAATTACAACTTCTGACAGAATTTAAGTCAGATGACAACATCTGACAGAATTTAAGTCAGATTACAAATGCTGACAGAAACTAAGTCAAAATATAACTTTTGATGGAATCCAAAAAACTTCAAGTCAGATTACAACTTAGGCAGAAACAATGTAAGATTAATCATTTAAGGTCTTCAGACTTCACATGCCAACCAAGATTTCTACCATTTGAGTGACATAACCAGCAAATGACGTCATGTTAAAAACCAACACTTTGACCGAATTTTACACTACCCCATACGGCCACACTATACAGAGTATTTTATCAAACTTCGTAGTTTATAGCTTTTTCCAGGACAGTTTAATATTCAACATGTTTAACTATTTTAGTTTTAACTTGTCTTTTAGACTTTGATATTAATATAAAATATAAAACAATATGCAAATTATTTATTTTTCTGTCACCCACACACTGTCATATTAATCCATCTTTTAAATGTGTATGGTTTTACACCTTGTGTTTATGTAAATTATGTGTGTTTTGATATCCTATATTGTATTGTATCCTTGTGTAGGGAATGAACAATTCTTAACATCAAACAGGTGTCTTACATAAAATTACTTTTCAACTCGATCCCAACTAGGATATTTGAAATTAAGATTACCAATATTGAGTATTCTAGTCCTTTACAATGGCAACATTCCCTTAAACTCATCCTTAATTTCACTCAAGACATACTAAATCCTGATATTACTTCATTAAGGATATACTTCCTACATAGGATGAATGTCGCAATAAGGACTATTTATAATCAAATTTCACTTAGAACAGGGCCAGCAGAAAGTTCTGATATATATTTTTATAGCGTGAATTTATTTGTTTTCACTTTTATCAAAATACTTCAGTACTACTACCGTTAACAATCTAGACTTGAAATTTAAGAAGCTAGTAATTTCTTCAATATCAAAAATCTATATATTAACAAAGGGCTACAAGATTTAACCAAACTTTCCAGTAGTGAGGGATACCAGCCCAAAATTCTTTATCGAAATGATTACTTTGAGTCCATAGTGGACTATAATACATAGCTAATACCACTTTATTAGGGCTCTATTGTTGACCCTATTTATAACAATCACATAAGCTTGGACATTTTAAGAGTATTTATTTCCTTTGGTGACCCTTTAATACTGTAACACATACAAAATATTAGTCATCTTCAAATTCCTTACTTGAAGTTTCATAACTTTCTCAATTGTATATAAACTGATATTCAAATTTACAAAACCCCTAATCATTACACCACCTTTAAATAGAAAACCCCAAAAATAAAGATAAAATCTGCATTAAATATAAAACCCAAATCATGAGACAACCTTCAAATCTATAGATTTTCACTACTTTCACAATTCATACCAATTACTATATTATTATATATGACAAATCATACCAATTACTATGTATATATATATATATATATATATATATATGTATAAAGTAAGTACCAATACCACTGATCCATATATTTCATATTTATTTACCAATTCAATTTCCCTCCTTTTTTTTAGCTAGATGCACATATGTAGAAATTTTCCTGAATTGTGTTGTTATAAATCCAACATCACAACAAAATTTAACTCACTGGAAACAAACTATTTCAAACATGCCAGAATATATTCCAAAATCACATCCAACCACTTGGTATTCCAAAATAAATTCCAAACTCACAAATATATATATCAATTTGGTATGAGTGTTAAAATCCTATATCACTATTTATAACTGTTATCTTCTCAAACCCTTCTAAGTTAATAAATACAAGATAAGGGCTGTTACACATACCGTATTCAAAATTCTCGATATTTAACATATAAATATATCTACTACGTCACAATCGCAGGTACAGGGAATTTCAATAGGAGTGTCATCATTCAGTTGGATAAACTTTACTATCAACCTTTTCCTATTGTTACTTTAACCTTACTGAGTTTCAAGCTAGACAGTTAATGTCAGTGTGTAATAAACCATATAGTGTAGAGATTGTCAACTCACTAGCCTAGTAGAGACATACATACATACACTTGAATTAACCTTCAACAGGCAGATAGCTCCTTTAATATTAATCAGAAATTCAGGTGGAAATTCAAGAAATAAGGTTTTCCCTTATGAATAGTACGAGCAGATCTAAAACAAACAGACAGAAAAAACAAAGTACTAACAATCTGAATGGCAAAAGGAAACCCCAACTCCATAATAACATATTTGCAATATCTTGGAAGCCTCTGATGAATTTTTCAAGTCTTTCAAGTCAATTTGGACCCTGAATATATGTAAATAGACTTCACAACTACTAAAACTGTACGAAAATCACATTATTCCTTCAAATAGACCTCAAAAACTAGAACAACTTTTTATTCATTTCGTTCACAAGCTTACTTTCTCTCTGAAATTTTGGGTATGCGAAAGTTGAACGTCTTGTTGATATAATCCCTGACACTAAGACATCTTCCCTCGCAGCTGTAGATTATTATGGATACAGTTGGATTTAAAGGCTCAAATTATTAACAGTAAGCTGTAAACATTATAACTGATTAGTTTAGCAGAACAATTCAGTTTTTTTGAGACCAAGGTATGATTTACTCCTGGAAAAGCTGCACCTTTAATCTAGAAAAGCATGAGCCTTTACACATTTTTTTTTAGCAATTTCTTGTAAAGCTATTTACTGCATCAGATTTTATTACAATGAATTAGTTTGGTTTTAATATATTAAGGTATGTTGATATTATTTTGTAAGGCAATTATCAAAGACCCCACCCTTCGTATTGTTAACTTGTTAAATGTGCAAATAAAGCATTTAAAAAAAAAATAAATAAATAAAAAATACATTCATTCGTACAATCATACTTTTCCCCGGGAATGGTAAACTAGGTTTGAAAATAATCACAAGAGAAAAGCTAGTTTAATAAATTGTTTCATAATGCAAAACAAAAAACACCTTGACAAATTTTGACTGAGTGGGCGATTTGAACTGAAATCAATTTGTGTTGTATATGATTGATTCAACTTTCATTTTAAAACCATCATCTTGTATACCTGTATACTGACAAGTATTGATAAGATACCTTGAAATTAGACATGGGCTCGGCACTATAGGGCAAATAGGGTCAAGAATCTCTTTGCGCTGGGTCTATCCTTTACTAAATCAATTCCCCCCATCAGACAAAATATATGATATATATATATAAGATTTTAATGAATTGTTTTCTAATGGTTCTTTACATTCCTCTTCGTAATTAAAACTGAAAAATATAAAAGGGGGTCACAGGTTTTCTGAAAACCTTTCATTTTAATTATCATTTCATTACAGTTCTCTATTTCTTATTCATTACTTGTTTTTTATCACCAGATATTCCATTTGAACACTTCAAATAGCACAGTCATTTTATACAATAAAATCATAACACCTGCCTCCACTCTACTTTTACGAGGGTTGGTCAAAATGTTTTAGGCTTTAAAGGTTGTATTTCCGCATAAGGTCTTGAATATGCAGAAAGTCTTCAGAAGAATAGAAATTTACAAAAACCTCATAATTCTTTCAAAATTACCTCAAACTAGAAATTTCTATACATGTCTTCTCTATATGGCAGAGTATCAAGAAAATCGAAAGGATGCTCTGAGTTATTCAATCAACCAACTTTTTGTGACCCCACAGGAGTTCTTTCAGTTAGAAAGCTTTAAGTTAGATATGAGAAGTAAAAGTGATGGTATGAAAATAAACCAGTAAAATACTTCACAGCCATTTGGTTTATTTATCTAGTGGGCCTAAAACTTTTTGACCAACCCTCGTATCATTTCAATACAGATGGCAGGTACTAAAAAACACAACTACATTGATGATCTATTATTCAAGCATAACTTGCCTCTAAAATTCTTTCATTTATTAACCAACAATTCTTCTTTGTACTCCCTCACAAAACTGGGATATTGTTAGTTATCTATTATAGTATCATACCTTATTTACATAACAATTTCACTGGACATTAAACTAATATCCGGTCACTAATATAATGTACTAATGTACAAAGTACTATAGTCCATACTAGAAAGCAATCAATTATTTCTTTATATTTGTTAAACTAAGCTAAACTGATCATGAATAGAAACTGAAGTAGTAATTATATTGGGCAGTTGCAACTAAACCTATAGTCACTAATGTTTGAGAATATTTATATTCAGTCTTTGTAATTTTAGCATAATTCATCTCCCATTGTAACACTAAATAACCACTTATACAATGAGGTTAAAGTTAACCAAATAACCTTTAAACCAAAATAAATCAGATCCTAAAAGATCCTAGGTTGTCTAGGTTGTCGATGCACAAGCACTAGCAGTGGCATCAGGCATCAGGGCTGATATTTGATATTTAATTTTATTGGCAACAGCCAGTTGCGGTAATTTCTCAGAACAAATTAAAACAATTCGTAGTAAAATTCCCTTTAACTTTAATATTTTGTAAAAAAAAATGGAAAAGAATTTTGTGATATAAAATTTCACAGGGCATGAAAACAAAGAAACTCAGAATAATCACTGAGCAAACCCCTCCCCCCCCCCAGACAGAGCTAATGATTTATTGTGGTTTTGTTAATATCTCATGAAGCGTTCAGTTATAACATATTCATCACCATACTAAACAACACATAAAAACTTGAATAATAAGTCTCTTAAAGAGAAACACCCGCATAATGACACAGCACAGACCACTAACATAACAGTGCCTACTTCTTCCACAACAACCATCCTTATTCATTACCAGACCATTCTGTCATGTTACCAATATATATTATAGCTTGACTACATGTGAATACATGTCTAGCTCTGTCTAACATTTATAATATGTGAAGAATTTCATATCAAATAATTACGTCTCACTTCAGCTATTATTTGAAATATGAATAGATCTCTTTTTGTTTATTTTTTTTTTAATTTTAAGGGAAAGCATGTATATAATGATTTAATATGATTTAAGTGAATCTGATCAAAATGCAAATCTGGATATTATTTTTACATTATTTACCATCCATGATCTAAAAAGCTTGCTTTACATATACAGTTCTGGGTCATTTAATAATCAACCAATCAAATGCTTTGCTCTATAAAAGATTTTACAGATTTTTGCATGTAAGGAATTGTGGAAAATTCATTATTTAACGTCGAATTGTATTATACAATACAGTTGTTTAAAAATTTAAAATACAGTTAGATATATATGACAAATTTTCAAGTACAGTTGGATATATATTTCAAATCCCTAGGTACATTTATACATATGTATAAAGGTGACCAGGACAAGTTGGTAAACATATTTTGAAGTTAGGTGACATTCTTTACTCAATATGAAATAAAAATGATGTATTCTGTCAGAGTGTATGTGACAAGTAATAAACTTTCTTTAACTACAGAAATATTTCACTGTTTCTTCACTGAGTTTTCAATAAGAAGGTGAAATATGTCATGGTATCTTCACAATGTCAAGTTGAACTTAATACTTACATCTTTACTGCAATAGTCACCCTTCATGTATCTTAGTATAAATCTTTTAAATTTTAAAATGGAGACCAAAAACAAAAATAACAGAAGAAAATTGCAGAAATCTATACACTAGATTTGTTATTTATTGGCAGCCATCAGAAAAAGTTCCAATTGAGTTATTTCCCTTGATTATTTTTGGCTAAGTTTCTTTTAACTTTTCCAACTGTTAACCAATTTCCCATGATGTACATTGTCTATAGTGCGGTTTGTGTTTTTGGTTTACCGGGTAAGTGGAAATTTGTGGACTGACAGACTATGGAGGAAACATTGTGACTTGGTTACCTACCTGCTGAATAATTTTATTTGTCTTAATACATTTATGTATTCTTATTTATAGTATATAGAAAATACGATTGGTTGGTATATGATAGGCTAACATTCTCTTTCAGGAGAAGCTGATATCACAAACTGGGTAGTTGTTGGTAACAGTTGTCTGCTAGAATTAGGGTTGTCTACTAGAGCTATTGTTGTTTGCTTGATTCATGGTGGTCTCCTAGAGCAATAGTTGCCTGCTAAGCTACAGTTGTCTACTAAAGAGCTATGGTTGTCCAATAGAGCTATGGTTGTCTAATAGTGCTACGGTTGTCTGTTAGAGCTATGGATGTCTGTTAGAGCTATTGATGTTTGCTAGATTCATGGTGGTCTCCTAGAGCAATAGTTGCCTGCTAATGCTATGGTTGTCTTCTAGAGCTGTGGTTGTCTGCTAAATAGCTATGGTTGTCTAATAGTGCTATGGTTGTCTGTTAGAGCTATTGTTGTTTGCTAGATTCATGGTGGTCTCCTAGAGCAATAGTTGCCTGCTAATGCTATGGTTGTCTGCTAGAGCTGTGGTTGTCTAATAGAGATATGGTTGTCTGTTAGAGCTATTGTTGCTTGCTAGATTCATGGTGGTCTCCTAGAGCAATAGTTGCCTGCTAATGCTATGGTTGTCTGCTAGAGCTGTGGTTGTCTGCTAGAGCTGTGGTTGTCTGCTAGAGATGTGGTTGTCTGCTAGAGCTGTGGTTGTCTGCTAGAGCTGTGGTTGTCTGCTAAAGAGCTATTTGTCTGATAGAGCCACGGTTGTCTGCTAAAGAGAAACGGTGGTCTGCTAGAGTTAAGAATGTCTGCTAGAGCTATGGTTGTCTGCTAAAGAGTAACGGTTGTCTGCTAAAGAGAAACGGTGGTCTGCTAGAGTTAGGAATGTCTGCTAGAGCTATGGTTGTCTGCTAAAGAGTAACGGTTGTCTGCTAGAGCTATGGTTATCTGCTAAAGAGTAACGGTTGTCTGCTAGAGTTATGGTTGTCCGCTAAAGAGTAACGGTGGTCTGCTAGAGTTAAGAATGTCTGCTAGAGCTATGGTTGTCTGCTAAAAAGTAACGGTTGTCTGCTAGAGTTAGGAATGTCTGCTAGAGCTATGGTTGTCTGCTAAAGAGTAACGGTGGTCTGCTAGAGCTATGGTTGTCTGCTAAAGAGTAACGGTGGTCTGCTAGAGCTATGGTTGTCTGCTAAAGAGTAACGGTGGTCTGCTAGAGCTATGGTTATCTGCTAAAGTGTAACGGTTGTCTGATAGAGTTATGGTTGTCTGCTAAAAAGTAACGGTGGTCTGATAGAGTTAGGGTTGTAAAATAGTAATATATTGAAATAAATGGAGACTTACCATTGGTTTGAAATCATCATACGCTGGAAGGTCGTATAATGGATCAGCTGATTTACTAAGTTCAGAATTATAATTAACAACTTTAGTAGGAATAGGTGTAGGATACGTATCTCGTGAGGTGTTGTGAGATAGAAACCCGCCATCACTGAAAAATACATATTTTGATACAGTCACAAAATATTTTCAATGTTAAAATAAAGCTCAATACTTCAATTGTAGAGCAATATAGAAATATGAAAACATAACTTGAAACATGTGGTCTAAATTGCACAGTGTGAAACTCTGTAACAACAATGTTTCATTTTCTATTACGTAATATTTCAATTATCTTTAAAGAGTCTAAAAATAGTTCAAAATATATGCACCTACAAAAAAAGATACTATCAATTTCTAAATATAGTAACATACACCCACTTTGGTACAAAATTATCAAGAAAAGAAAATACAAAATACCACCTTGCACAGAACAGAGCACAGCACAAATTCTATTTTTTTTTAAAAGCTTTAACATTTTAGATGAATCATCTAATATCAAATAGTTTTAATCAAACATGCTGCTGCCCTAAAAGATTAAGAAATGTTGGAGAAATGTGAAATTTCTAACATTACTAAAATACAATAAAGGTAATGATTTGTAACTTTAATCTTACCATAAGAAGAAGCTATCATAAGAATGAGAAGACAGCGCTAAAAACGTGGGCCGAGAAATGAACATTTTTACAAAATAATCACTAATTATCCATCTAAAAATTAACTCATTTTCTTAAATATAATCCAAGAGAGCTAATGTCTTATGAAAGTACAAAGCTTTGCATGTCTACATTTCATTTAAACATGCTTCTCTGTAAGAAATTTCAACTGAAAACAACCCAAATATTGCTGGAAACAGCAATCTTTAAAAACAATATTCAAAATGAAATAAGATGCCACTGTAAAACTACTAATTGTATGCTCCAATGATTTTACTTCATCCTTCACAAAAAACAGAATAACAAAGTAATGCATTTATAACATGAAAAATAAACAAATAATTTATAGATTAAGGATTTTCCCTCTTCCTTTATAATCATATACATCCTCTATGACTAGACTTGTAACGTTGAAAATAGGAAATATAATTTTAAAGATGGTCTTCCTTTTAAAATTACAACACCAATATAATGTATACATGTAATGAATTTCAGTACAAATAGTGAAAGCATCCATTTGAGCTGTATATACTACAGCTTCTATGTAGTGGCGTTTCTAGGAAAAATTAGGTGAGGGGGTCAAGCAGGAGCCACAAAATTTTCCAGGGGGTGCCTCAGGCATCTTAAAATTACAGTAATCTGGTTGTATAATTCAACTAATTCTAAAATCAAGTTTGTCAATTGACCAATAAGATGATTTGAACAGTGGCAGGGCCACAGGGGGAGCAGGGGGGGCAACCGCCCCTCCTCGCAGCCCCGAAGGCTAGTTTTTCGGGCAAGGCATTAAAAAAAAAAATTTAATGTCCCGATTTTATTTTTATTTTTTTGGAATTTAAAAATGAAATCATATCTTTGCCCGAATATCCTATACTATAACTGTATATTTTTAAATTGATAGCCCGATTGTATTCTATAATAATATTTCATAATTCATATTATTTAAGAATCGAAATCACTGCCCGAATGTCATTCGTATGATTATATTTTACATATTTCAAAAATTGAAATCGCAGCCCGAAAGTAGAGTTTAGAACTTTTTTTTACACAACCAAAAAAAGCCAATTCGGGCACAGATTTCAACTAAGTTAGAAATTTGGGCAACCTCAGATATCTCACCCCCCCTGGGACGTAAACCTGGCTCCGCCACTGGATTTGAACAATAATATCATCCTAAGTTAGTAGGACGTAAAACTCCATTCATTTCATCATCTTAAGTTAAGTTTTCAAGAATAAGTTTTGGTGAATATCGAACAGAAATTCTAGCAAGTCACACTTTAACTTCAACTATCAATTATTCAAATAAATTAAAAGATAGACACTTCTGATCAGATTGGAAAGGAAGAAACTTATACCTCAATTTAAAACATGACACATCAGATTTATTCCTTCACTTGCTCAACTTTTTACAGTCATTGTTTCTTTTGATAGAAATTCAAACTTTAAAGCAGCTATTTGATTTTTCTTGTATTGAAGCTAATTCTTATCTATGTAAAATAAAGAAACTAATATTCATGGGTGACCGCTTGAAACCTCGTATATGCCATATTTGGTCATTTTGACTTTTTGGTACCGTTCGAAAGCTCGTAAAGGCACAGATCTTGTGGTCAAAACCTCATATTCTTTGCTTGATTGTAAATAACTCAAAAAGCACTAATTAAATACGAGGTTCAATGTTCCTTTTTCTGCTGATGAAAATGAAAAACCTCGTATACTGTATTATTATACGAGTTTTTGGTTCAATAGGCCGGAGATTTTAAATTGTTATACAAGGTTTATATTTTCAAAGAATGAAAACCACGTAAAGCGGTAAAAAAAATAATAAAAAAGATTTTAACAAAATACGCGTAGAAATAGTTTTCTTGAAAAGTAATTCCGCATCATATATGGTTTTACGAGGTTTCAAGCAGTGACCCACGCTATGTTTGTCCTCATGGGTTAAACAGGACCATGTCAATTGGTGTAATGGACAAAATTCTGGACCATGTAAAATAAGTTTCATCTAGTTTTGGAGTTTGGCCTGATAATGTCTGAATATTTATAGTTGAAACCTTCAGAATAAGTATTATTACTCTGGGCGTTTATTTTACAATAACTCATACATTAGTTTTTTAACAAGCAAACAACAACAAAACTCAATACGATGTTCAATATTTCACTTCACTCTTTTAACTAGTTTTTGGCTTTCTAAAACAACGAGGTACCTTTAGTGAAAACTTTCAGATAAATAAAGGGAAAAATTTCTTTAGATTTTGGTGTATATAGCTTTCATAAATTTAAGCACAAAAAAGCCAACCAATGAAAAAAAATCAAATTGTTGAGATTAAATTCTCACCTATATAAAGCTATATATAACTGATTTATAAAACATATTGGATAGACTTTTTCCTTAATATCATAATCCATTGTGTTAAATAATTCTTCCTGTTTTATTCCACTAGTAATTCTCTTGTCAAATACCAAAATGCATCACCATCCTTCATAAAAGCAATGGATTATCCCATTGTGAATAAAGTTTGTCACTACATTTTATACAATATATAAATATTGTTTTTATTAATAAATTGGTTTTGTTTGATTCTGAACTGTAGTGTTTATGCCTTAAAATTGCACACAACTGTTTTTATCAAGTATTTCTACACAACTGTTTTTATCAAGTACTGTTTTTACCACGTATTTCTACACAACTGTTTTTATCAAGTATTTCTACACAACTGTTTTTATCAAGTATTTCTACACAACTATTTTTATCAAGTATTTCTACACAACTGTTTTTATCAAGTATTTCTACACAACTGTTTTTATCAAGTATTTCTACACAACTGTTTTTATCAAGTATTTCTACACAACTGTTTTTATCAAGTATTTCTACACAACTGTTTTTATCAAGTACTGTTTTTATCACGTATTTCTACACAACTGTTTTTATCAAGTACTGTTTTTATCACGTATTTCTACACAACTGTTTTTATCAAGTACTGTTTTTATCACGTATTTCTACACAACTGTTTTTATCAAGTACTGTTTTTATCACGTATTTCTACACAACTGTTTTTTATCAAGTACTGTTTTTATCACGTATTTCTACACAACTGTTTTTATCAAGTACTGTTTTTATCACGTATTTCTACACAACTGTTTTTATCAAGTATTTCTACACAACTATTTTTATCAAGTATTTGTAACAATTGTATTGATATAATTAATATATATGTTACACACTTATATTTATATACATGTTGATATTTATCTATTCATCTTCTATAAAATCACATAATTATCATTAGGATTCTTTATGCAAAATTTCCTAAACAATAAGATTTCTGATGAAAATTTTATTTTTCGTAATAATATTTTCATTTTCATTTTCAGTGGTTTATATCCTGTCCAGTGTTAAACAATGATGTATAATGTAGGCGTAGATAAGTCATTGACTTGGACTGATTACAACAATTAGGTTTGATACACCCACAACGTAATATTATTTAAAGGAATACTACCTCTTATGAACATTAAATTTACATTTTCAGACTTGGCCAATAAGGGTAAATTTTTATCAGACTGCGACTTAATGGATTTATACAGGGATTCTGTTGTATAGTTATGAAACCAAGTTAGTCAACTGATAAATATAAGCTCTTATTGGTCATGTTTGAGAAGTTCAAATTTAATTTATTCTAAGAGGTAGTAACTCTTTAAGTTGTACTACTGTCTTTCACCACCTAATCTTAAGGTCTTTAATAAGACTTTTATATGATTATTTACTGAAATTAGATATAAAAAATTAAAAAGTGTGTTATTTTTAATATCCTATGTGAAATTTTCATAAATAAACTTATTAGAGTAGGTATGTTTGCGAAAATTAAATATTAACAATGTCTTATATTTCATGAAAAACTGTGCTATTTTCAATTTCCTATATGAAATAATATGGTAATTCCCTTTATATCTTAATATTAGTAGCAGACAGTTAATTTCAGAAATAATTAAATCCTTTCTATACAGAAAACAAAACTTCCTTCACGAGAAAAAGTGAAGAATGACATACGAAAACTTCCTTGAAACTCATTTTACTAAAAATCATTTCATTTCCCACTCTTGATCTATATAAGAATTCCCGTAAATGAGTCTTATACACTGTATTACAACTGTGCACTTCTGTAAAATCCAGCGTGTAATTAGTTTAGTTTGTGTCCTACTTTGTTTTATGTGTTGGTATTTAATTGTGTTAATTCTATAGTTATAATTAGACATAATTAATACTGGCAATTAATCCATACCCTTCATAATAATATATCATACCATTATATTGGTAGGTCTTTTATTGAGCTTTTTCCCTGTTTAAATGTCACAATAGGAAATAGTGCTCACAAGATTTTTACCATTCAACTATTCGACAGTATCATTCGATTTGCATTCAAATAATCGACAATATTTTCAAAAATTTCTTGAAAAATCGGCCATTTACTGGCAAGTACGACTGAATTCCCCGGTCTCCTCGACTGTATTATAGATTTACATTGCAACAACTCGCTCAGGAATTATTTTACTTTTCTATAGCCTCTTGAAAATCGATGAAGTGGTGAAACACTTGATAATTGATAAAATAAGTTAGAAGAAAACCCTCCAAAAAATAAATGAAAATATCAGTGAGCATGCCGTAATCTGATTGGACAATATCATCAGATGCCTATTTTTATCAGCTAATCAATTTCTTCCTATCATTATTTTTCTACTTTGGTTTTGAAACGTCTTGATCATCCAGCTCTGGTAAATGGAACAAGTAGCATGGTTCGAAAGACTTGACAATGCATTATAGATAGTATTAATAGACCTGACACGGGGATCATCTCAAAGCAATGTTCTGTAGAAAGCCATTGGCCATCTGAAATTTGTGTAACCGATGTTACAAAACATTTTCTATACTTCTGATGTTTTGTCACATTTATGTATTTTTGCACATAATAATAAAGACATATTTTAAAGATAAGAAGATATTAAAAGACAACCAAAAGTAAACTTTTAACGCCAATAAATAAGTTTATAGTCAAATTATAGTCATTCCTACGCCATCTCACCTTGGACAAACTACTGTTTCCTCGAGAGTTTTCTGACATATATCAGTCGGTCGACAGTATCAGGATCCAATGTAGACCTTTTCTGGTTAACAATATTATCTAGTTTATGGAACGATACCCTGGTCACGAAGTAAACAAAGTTAGCAGATCAACCTTCATTTTCAGAAACATTTTTCTTGAACAAAAAACAATGTTTTTTTGAAATGCCCACTCAACAACTGTCTTTGGTCACCAGCACGTACTGATAGATGTAGAGTTTCTCAGGCTATTTCATTATCATATATCTCAATGATCTAATCCTAACTTGGTTAAATAACCCAATGACCTTTTCACAAATAATCACTTCATCTTTCATGAATATTGTATTGCACTTAAAACACTGTTTTAATATTTTTATACCATTTGCCAATTAAAAGAACACCAAAATTAAGTATGACCAAAAATTTTAATTTTCAACTTAGTCAAAGTGAGTCTATATTCATTATTGGACCAAAATGGTATCATAACTATACAACAGAATCCCTGATCTGATATATCCATAAAACTTAGTACTAGTACATAATACTATACGCAATTATTAAAAACATTTAATATTTAATACTTATATTTATTATCATATCATGGATTCTGTTGTTTAGTATGGCACCAGGTAAGTCCACTGATGAATATAAACTCTTCTTAGAGGTAGTATTTCTTTATAAACACTGGTCACTTTCATAGTGAAGGCATTTCTTGTGATTACTGATATATCTAGGCCAAGCATAAGCTTATCTATCCAACAGAGTTCAAAATTGCAACTTAGTTATTTCTTATATCAGATAATTCTTAATCCTGGTAGTATCAAACCAGCAGAAAAAATAATTATAGGTATGCTTGAATTGACACAAAATGAAACTTCCTTTCTGACAGAATACTTAAAGCTTGCAGTGAATATTTTTTTTAGGAAAGGTTTTACATGCTGGAGATGAAAAGGTTAAATTAATGAAATAATTCACCTGCAAGAAACCATACTCTTGAGATTGGTGTGAAAATAGAGGTAAGTAATAGCAGCCATGATGGAATTAGAATAGTCTGGTATTAGTTTATTGTCTGAGTGCCAAGACTTGAGAAGATAGTTATTTAGAATAAGAGGTATAATTATCTAGTACCTGAAGTCATATTTTTTATACTACAATATCTGATATACTCCTGTTTTCATTATCATACTTTCATAATGATATACTCCTGATCTATATCAGTAGCAATATCTGATATACTCCTGTTTTCATTATCATACTTTCATAATGATATACTCCTGTTCTATATCAGTAGCAATATCTGATATACTCCTGTTTTCATTATCATACTTTCATAATGATATACTCCTGTTCTATATCAGTAGCAATATCTGATATACTCCTGTTTTCATTATCATACTTTCATTATGATATACTCCTGTTCTATATCAGTAGCAATATCTGATATACTCCTGTTTTCATTATCATACTTTCATTATGATATACTCCTGATCTATATCATTATCATACTTTCATTAATATAACAGTAGCAATATCTGATATACTCCTGTTCTATATCATTATCATACTTTCATTATGATATACTCCTGATCTATATCAGCAGCAATACCTGATATACTCCTGTTCTATGTCATTATCATACTTTCATTAATATAACAGTAGCAATATTTGATATACTTCTGTTCTATATCATTATCATACTTTCATTAATACAACAGTAGCAATATTTGATATACTCCTGTTCTATGTCATTATCATACTTTCATTAATATAACAGTAGCAATATCTGATATACTCCTGTTCTATATCATTATCATACTTTCATTAATACAACAGTAGCAATATTTGATATACTCCTGTTCTATATCATTATTATAGTTTCATTAATACAACAGTAGCAATATTTGATATACTCCTGTTCTATGTCATTATCATACTTTCATTAATACAACAGTAGCAATATTTGATATACTCCTGTTCTATATCATTATCATACTTTCATTAATACAACAGTAGCAATATTTGATATACTCCTGTTCTATGTCATTATCATACTTTCATTAATATAACAGTAGCAATATCTGATATACTCCTGTTCTATATCATTATCATACTTTCATTAATACAACAGTAGCAATATTTGATATACTCCTGTTCTATATCATTATCATACTTTCATTAATATAACAGTAGCAATATCTGATATACTCCTGTTCTATATCATTATCATACTTTTATTAATACAACAGTAGCAATATTTGATATACTCCTATTCTATGTCATTATCATACTTTCATTAATATAACAGTAG